CATGGGGCTGTACTTATCATAACTTATTAAAAACCTGTCGTCCATCTGCAGAGCTGTTTTACGCGCGTTTTTCCCCACATGCATGTGCCACTCGAGAATTTTCCCTCTAGCACCAACACATCACTCAAAGATACACAGAAACTTGGATCGATCATATTATAGTGTCTAATGCGAAACAAAGTTTTCCGAAAACACTGGAACAATTTCCAGTTCCTGGAATTTTAAAACATTCTAAATTTACTCTGTTTATACAACCGAAGTGCCTAAATACTCACCATCACATAAATCAATAGTACAGTTCGAATTTCAAAATTATGATAAGCAAGCATTTATATGGTGATGGATTTGACACTCTCATGGCACTTGTACAGCGAAGAAGAATCACTATGATAAAGAGTGAATCTTTCACTAACTTAATAACACAGCTCTAACGACCGGCATGCGCCTTTAACAAATTTCGCGTGTAACTCGTCCTCGCTGCACCATGGTTAATCTGCTGAAATTCGAAATTTAAGAAGAGAATCGTGAATGCACCTATGCATTTTCCGGAAAACTAAATGCGAACTACTTAAAAAAACATGTGACAAAAATGTCTGCAGAAATTTAGTTACGCAGGAAATGCTCGTGCAACGCTAAATAATAAAATTACAACACAGGCCTAACTTCGGCCAGAAATCAGCGACTCGAGAACGAGTCTGATAAAATTTGAAAACCTAGGAATCGTAAAGGTCCTCCCCAAATGAAGGAATATACCGCTTAGAATCACTAAAGTCACAGTTTCGTTAAAATAACGTTCCTTCATTTGACAGTAACTGTGAATAACAGCATCTTGTTTTGTTCATCTCGCAAAGCGCGGGAAATAAATCCAACGAACTAATATCTTTTCTTTTCGGGTCCGGTTGAAGCATTAGGATATAATCACAAATCATTCAGTTTAAATCAAACGGCTGTCAGGGTTCCGAGTGGTATAAATGCGCCAAGCTTACTAAAAGATGCTTAGGGCGCTTCCCACGGCGCGGCCGCCGCCGCGCGCTACTCTTCAGAAGGAAGCAGACTTGCTTCGACGCAGCCACCCTGGCGGAGTCACGGCGCACTGCCGCCCGGCCGTGGAAGGGGTGGCGGTCTGGAATAGGGGTAGGTTTCGTTGGCCGGCCTCCGGCGTGCCGACGAACAAAGGGACCGGGGGTAAGGTAGATCGCTGGCGGCCGTTGGCGCAAGTGGGATAAGGCTTTCCATTGCAACGTGCTTGGCACGTGCTGAGAGCGAGCCTCCGGATTTAAACCATGACATCTGCTACGCGCCGCGCCGCTGCCTGCCAAACGTGCCGGCGTGCGGCCGCGCCGTGGGACTTTGAGGCCTCCTCCTAAAGGGGCGCCAGGCCCAGGAGCATTCGGTTTGAAATGGAGGCCTTCGCGGGTGGCGGCTGCTGGGCAGCCGACGCCGAACTTCCCAGGCTACGCGAAGGAGGAGGGGCCAACGCGCCACGCTAGCAGAACACAGCTCTAATAAGGGACGCGTCCCCACTGCGCCAACGGGGCGCGCAGCCCGTTCTACCCTGCTCCGGTCCCTTTGCTCGTCGTGGTACGCCGGGATGGGTCGCGAAATCCTACCCATAGAGTGGCTTTCCAGACTGTCACCTCTGGCGCTTCCTTTATTCGAATGCGGGCGGTGGTTTTGCTGGTTGCGTGTGGCGCTGTTGTGCGGGCCCTTTGCCTGGCTGGACTGCGGAGCCTCAGGCCTGGACTCACCGGCGGGGTGGACAGGCTTGCGCCCTGAGGAGAGCTCGCTGCCGCTTATAAAGAATATGCGGAGCGGAACAGTTAACGCAGTTTCCGGTGCGTATTCCGGGTATGATCACAGGCTACCGGGTGCTCTCGAGAGCATTGGACGCGAATATCCCAATCATGCACGCGACAGAACTCTCGTGAGTAGATAGCTACAGCATCTTAGGCAGCGCACTAGCATCATGCGTCACCGGAGAATCTGCCAGCCGATCCTATGCCCAGCAGACAGCATCCAATCTCGAATTATCTATAGCGACTACTGAATCTACGCCGTAAATGGGATGCAGTGCCCGAATCTAGTGTCTAAGTAGCTCGCAAAAGTCGTCGCGAGAGCAAACTGAACATGTTCTCTATGTAGAGTTCAAACTGCCTCTAAGAGTTGGCTTCAAAGTGCATTCACTGATACTCTGACTCGCACTTCAATGATCAATCACTGTGTATCAGCGCACATGTTCGGACTCAGTTCGGCGATTTCTTCTGACCAATCATTGACATTCAATTACAAAGTAACCAACTTCAAGTAGCTCATGAATTGCAATGTGTTAGAGTTTTTATTTTTTGGATCCTAACGCCTTATAACTCTATCGGGTAGCCGACATCTTTTGACAGAATCATCTTAATGCTTTGTATCTTTCGTAGACAAACACCAGTTACTCCACTCTCTACTTCTTTTATAATAGTTTAACCGTTTCTCATGCACACGCCTCATAGCAACTTCGAATCCTCTGAAACTAAATTGAGGGCTCGTGAATGAGCTTGCTTTTGTGTCTACTCACAAACACGATTCATTCAGTAAATCATTCACCATTACAGCTTCCGAGCCTGAAATAAATTACCAGTCGGAGACTAAAACGTTCAATACTTTTTCGGGTAAAAGCTTCAAACTAAATTTAACACCCACATGGTAAGGAATGAACGGGCATATAGACGGCAGTTTAACATCTTCTTCATCTCCAGACTTTCTCCTCTTCCAAGCCGCCCGGTCACAGCCCCCCATTAAACACCTGGGCACGTCTCCTCTATTTCCCCCTCTCTTATGCTCTAAATATTCTACTCTACACCATTACCTGAGTCTGCTATTATCCTCTCATTCCATTCCTCTCACAGTGCTAAATTTGGGGCCACTTAAGCTATTATTATCCTGTTTTCTTTGTTCGCTCTAATGAAATTAGTGTAATAAAGCACATATTACAGATACATTGTATTGTAACGCGTTACGTTTCCGAGATAAAATTATCTTGTAGCTGAGTCTTGGGACCATCCATCAGGATAGTTTATACAATGAGTTAGTTTTTGGTCTAAACAAAATTGATGTTAAGACTACCTGCACTCTTTTGTCACTTGTTCCTTACATACTGCCAGTATTGGTGTTTAAAATTACTGTTTGTTATTTGTTTTATTAGTGTCTATTTGTGCTTCTTGGTGTTAAAAACATTTATTGTATATGTTATGGAAAGTCGCTTCTGTAAACCAGACGTGAGCTTTTCCCTGTCCAGCGTTTCGTTCAATAACTTCACTTTTTTTTCACTACTTCTTCTTCGTCCTTCTTTTCACTTCACTTCTTTCTCTTCCCTCTCCTCACAAAATCTTAACGGTTTTGGAGCTTATTTTTTGGAACCCCTTCCCCTAGGGTATGTCTTTTCTCTTTCTCACGAAACTTCCCTTTAAACTACTCAGTATGAACATACTCAGTCGATGAATAAGTTCGGCTAAGCCGCCATCATGATTGGGTTTTTCTGGGTACTCAATCTCTTAGCGTATGCGGGATGGTCCCTAGATTGTTCTCCCAGACGTACAATGACCAGCTGTTCCTTCCCTCTTAAAATGTTACTACTCTAATGTATGTAAATTCAGTATACTGGTGTAAAGAGGCAGTCCCTATGGCCTTGAGCCTAGCCATAATATATAAAGTACTACTACTATTTTATTATTCTAATTTCATTGATTATTATTATTATTCATTATTATTATAATTATTATTTATTATTATTAATTATTATTATTATCATCATTATCATTATTATCATATCATCTTAATTATATTATCATTATTATTATTATACCTATGTCCTATTGCCCTATATTCTTATTCTTATTCTTATCTGCCTTGTTGTCGAGTTGTTATTTCCTTACAAATTATCTGCACAGTATCTAACTGGTCGGTATGGTCAACCACACACAGGAATGATGACCACGGTCTGTGGTCTCTTAGGCTGAAAGGTTTCCAGAATGGCTTCAAAGACAATACGGCATTTGTGTCTCAAAACTCAACCTGACGTTTGCAATTGGAGTATACATTCCGTGGCGAGTCGCAAGTGTATAGACACTACCAGTGGCCGAAGTTGACATTTCAGGATCACTCCTGTAGAGATATTATAATAGCACAGTTGTCAACTTACGAGAAGTTCCACTGAGTTGCGACTTATCATCGGCGAAGATCGATATCCTTCTGGATCTTCTCTTGATATTTTCCGGAGGTGTTGTGGGTATGGTATCATGTCATATTGATAAGGAAAACCTGCTGATGGTTTCCTATCAATATGTATTATTATTAATTATCATCATAACATCATCATCATTATTACTACTATACT